ATGCACCTTAGGCAGGAAAATATTCCTTTCCGGGCATTCCGCTTCCCATTTGGGTCCACCTAATTGCTCCAGAAGTTCCAGGTGTCTGCAACATCTCTTGAATTCTGCAGCAGAGCCAAAAGGGCAGCATCCCCCTAACTTCCTCCTGCCCAGTTTCGCTTCTTCTCACTCTGCTTGGCCACCCACCTGTTGCAACGGAAGAGAACACCTGAAATTGTTTTTCTGGTTGCATGTCTACATGTCTGCAAGCAAAAGTAGGGGGAGGAAGGTGTTAAATCTCCCTGGGGAAGACCATATTCAGAAAGATCACACTGATGCCATACTAATGTCAGATTCCTTGGCCCATAATGCTGTTAAGACAGGCCAGGGACCAGGACTTTTGTCTTCCAAGCTTTCGAACTCATGCTGGAGCCCATCCTCGGGGAACTTCTTCTAGCAATCTCCTCATTCCTAATCTATGATCTTAACTTCTACACGTGGTTAACCATATGAGATGTGGTTGCAGAGGCAGGCTTTCCTGAATTCATAAAAAATACATCTTTCCCCTTTTGAAAACCATATTAGAAAAGACAAAGCACGCTGTCTCAACAGAGTTTTGATCATTGGGTGGAGCTCTCTCTACATCGTTGAAATATTCTAAGAGGAGAGGCAATTTCAGATTAAAACTGACTCCGTTAATCCAGGTTGACAGGATTGTGGACATATCAAGGCAGGAAACGTGGCAAATTTGTGCAATAGGGATTTCAGTTTTGAAAGTGCTTTCCTAGAAATTCTAAATTCGGCTGAATTGTGGACTTTCTCTTCCACCAATTTCTTTGCTGAAGAGATGATTAATGAACACAACAAATATAACAGACTCTTGTACTAAATATGACAAAAGGGAATCTTCCATCTAAAATGAAGAATGTAGCCAACAAAGTGTTAAGACTAACCTTGGGAAAGGAAGCACCGACAGTAGATTGACATGTTGCACAAAGAAACATTTTTGTATAGATTTCTGAGTCAATTTTTATTTGAGGTGCTCATATTTACACCTCCGTCCGAAGCCTGAGGCTCTGTATTTCGGCAGAAATAATCAGCTGGCATCAACCTTCTCATCCCAAGCCTGACACACAAACAATTCCTGGGGATGTATTTTCCTGGAGGGTTAAATGGTTAAAGGATTTAACTAGTGCTTTAGAAACATTTTTGTCTGAATTAGGCAAATCAGTTGTTCGAGTAACAAGATTGGGAGAGATTTGATATCAGCAGATATTCAGGAAGGTCCATCATCTTTGAGGAGAGAAAGAGTTTCATGGGGACCTTAGACCAACCAAGTTACTGTAACATGACCTCTCAAGTATTTCTAGTAAGTGAGATGAATGAAATGAGAGGTGAAAAAGAAGCCGGAAACCATCTCTTTCATTTCAGTTCAATTCTTTTTATCCAAACCCAGCTAATGAGATGCAAGCTGAATTTGCATAAAGGGGGGAGGTCTCAGATTCTTGGGGGTTTAAAGGGACTATAGCAGTCTCCTAATCTGAATTTCCCAAAACCATCAGCTCTTCACCATGGCCTGGTCTCTCCT